CCGGCCCGGTGGCCGGTGCGGGTCGCGGGGAACTCCCGAAGCCACCGCCCGTCGAGGCGGCGGGTTCGTCGCGCGGCCAGCGCATGAAGGCGAAGACCCAGAGGAGGATCAACGGCACGATCGTGCCGATGCCGGTCAGCGTCACCAGGATGGCGCCGAGGCCGGTCCAGCCGGGCAAGCCGGCTTTCTCGACGATGCGCCAGGCCATCCAGGCCGCGAGCACGGTGCCGATCAGCGCGAAGGCGCCGGTCAGCCCGAACAGGCCCGTGAGGGCCGCGATTTCCACCCCGAACATCTATCGCCCCGGCCCGGCTTCGCCCGCGGGCCAGGTGCTGAACGCCAGCATGCCCATGACGATGAAGGAGCCGATGACCGGCACCAGATGAAACAGCGACAGCGCGCCCGAGAAACCCGCGCGCGTGCAGATCCGCCAGGTCGGGATGATCAGCACGAGCGACAGCAACAGGTGTACGACCAGCAGGAAGAACACCGTGAAGGAGCCCAGCGCCAGGAGCCAGCTCACCGGATCCATGACGTCAGACCAGGGCGACGACTTCGATCTCGACCATGACGTCGCGCGGCAGGCGGGCGACTTCCACGGTCGAGCGCGCCGGCGTGGCGCTGCCGAAATATTCCGGCAGGCCATAGACCTCGTTCATGGCCACGAAGCTGTCCATGCTCTTCAGGAACACGGTCGTCTTCACGGCCTGGCCGAGGTCGCTGCCCGCCGCCTTCAGCACCGCCCGCAGGTTCTTCAGCACCTGGTGCGTCTGCTCGGCGATACCGCCCTCGACGATGTTGCCGGTCGCCGGATCGAGCGGAATCTGGCCGGCACAGAAGACCAGCCCGTTGGCCACGACCGCCTGCGAGTAGGGACCGAGGGCCTTGGGGGCGGCGTCCGTCTGAACGATTTTCTTGGCGTGGGCCACGATCTACCTCTCCTCTGGAAACAGGGGCCGGACGCTATCACAGGGCGGTTTGCTTGACAGGGGGCCCGGCAACCATTATCCGCGCGGTTCTCCAAGGGTCGGAGGGGG